ATACTATAAAATAAAATCCCACGTGATAATCATTACGTATTTGCATGAAACTCAATCTAGCGTGAAAGTTGTAAAATCAGTTTCTAGATTCCCCGCTGTCTCTGTTTTCATTCATAAAACGCCTACGCATTACTATATACCTGCTCGAGTGTTTTGTTATTTGTACTGTTTGCCCTTCGATTAGGCTGTTTTGATCAAGGACAATTCCATTAAAGTACGTGTTTTTTGGCTAGTATTTCTTTTTTTTTCTTTATTCCTTTGTTGTTACCCTTTACTTTAATCTTGATAGGACAAACTTAATTACAAAATATTTGAAGTTGCAGTGGTACAGTTATACTGGCGTCAATCAGTTATGGAACACCGTTTAACCCATCTTATACTGCCGTCAATCATTTATGGAACACTGTTTAACCCATCTTATACATTGTCAATCAGTTATGGAACACCGTTTAGTCCGTCTTATACATTGTCAATCAGTTATGGAACACCGTTTAACCCATCTTATACTGCCGTCAATCATTTATGGAACACTGTTTAACCCATCTTATACATTGTCAATCAGTTATGGAACACCGTTTAGTCCGTCTAATACTGCCGTCAATCAGTTATGGAACACCGTTTAGTCCGTCTTATACTGTCGTTCAATCAGTTATGGAACAACCGTTTAGTCCATCTTATGACATTGTCAATCAGTTATGGAACACCATTTAGGCCGTCTTATACTGCCGTCAATCAGTTATGGAACACCGTTTAGTCCGTCTTATACTGCCGTCAATCAGTTATGGAACACCGTTTAGTTCGTCTAATACTGCCGTCAATCAGTTATGGAACAGTGTTTAGTCCGTCTTATACTGCCGTCAATCAGTTATGGAACACGTTTAGTCCATCTTATACATTGTCAATCAGTTATGGAACACCGTTTAGTCCGTCTTATACTGCCATCAATCAGTTATGGAACACCGTTTAGTCCGTCTTACACTGCCGTCAATCAGTTATGGAACACTGTTTAGTCCGTCTTATACTGCCGTCAATCAGTTATGGAACACCGTTTAGTCTGTCTTATACTGCCGTCAATCAGTTATGGAACACCGTTTTGTCCATCTTATACATTGTCAATCAGTTATGGAACACCGTTTAGCTTGTCTTATACATTGTCAATCAGTTATGGAACACCGTTTAGTCTGTCTAATACTGCTGTCAATCAGTTATGGAAGACCGTTTAGTCCGTCTTATACTGCCTTCAATCAGTTATGGAACACCGTTTAGTCTGTCTTATACTGCCGTCAATCAGTTATGGAACACCGTTTTGTCCATCTTATACATTGTTAATCAGTTATGGAACACCGTTTAGCTCGTCTTATACATTGTCAATCAGTTATGGAACACCGTTTAGTCCGTCTTATACTGCCGTCAATCAGTTATGGAACACCGTTTAGTCCGTCTTATACTGCCTTCAATCAGTTATGGAACACCGTTTAGTCTGTCTTATACTGCCATCAATCAGTTATGGAACACCATTTTGTCCATCTTATACATTGTCAATCAGTTATGGAACACCGTTTAGCTCCTCTTATACATTGTCAATCAGTTATGGAACACCGTTTAGTCCGTCATATACTGCCGTCAATAAGTTATGGAACACCATTTAGTCCGTCTTATACTGCCTTCAATCAGTTATGGAACACCGTTTAGTCCATCTTATACATTGTCAATCAGTTATGGAAACACCGTTTAGCTCGTATTATACATTGTCAATCAGTTATGGAACACCGTTTTGTCCGTTTTATACTACCGTCAATCAGTTATGGAACACCGTTTAGTCCGTCTTATACTGCCATCAATCAGTTACGGAACACCGTTTAGTCCGTCTTATACTGCCGTCAATCAGTTATGGAACACCGTTTAGTCCGTCTTATTACTGCTGTTAATCAGTTATGGAACACTAGCTGAGTGTTACTGTGCTCAGATGGGCAATGTGTCTTCCACAATTTCTTTACTCAACCCCAAGATGGATTTTGACCAAACTTCACAGGAATAATTCTTAGAAGGCCATCTAGAAAAGTTACATAAATAGTTCTAGTTTGGTGCATAAGTAGGTCACAAGAGCTAAAAATAGACTTTAAAAATGAAATAGAATCTGAGTTTGTATCTCACAGTTCTGGAACAAGATAAACGAAAAAAACAACAACAAAAAACGAGAAATAATGCAAATTAAAAAAATAGGTATGAATGTCACGTTTATGCCTATGCCACCACAAGTTCCAGCTTATATCTGATATATTTATATGCACCTGAAGTCTAATTTCAGCGATTAGTTATTATATTTTTTTTATGAACTAAACCAAATGCTGCATGTCCCTAAAAATAACACAGGAGAAGGTGTATATACACAACAGAGCTGTTGGTAGGACATCTGTCAATAAAGACTCAACATGTGGGCACAAACAACATATTTTTACATGTAAGGAAACATTTTTTTACAGCCATTTATTGACATCTGTTACAGAACATTTTCTTTGATGTATGATTTACACACAGGCTTATTTGAATAGTGAAAGCATTTCAGACCACAGACCATTACCAATTAATTATATTCTTGCTTACCAAAGCCACTCTGCCAAAATAATTTGACTATAGAAAATGTCTTTGACTAACTGTTGTCAAATGTGCATTTGATTTGTTGATTTTGCTCTGTCTTGTTTATAGAATTGTGGGACATAATTATACTATCAATCAATTACTTAATTGGTATTCCTGTGCTATGTACTAGTAATGTTTTAGCTATATGACCACAAATAAAGGCCAACTTACCTTCATATTTCAGTTTGGTATAAGGTAGACCATTACTCAGCAAAATGGTTTAAGTGGAGATAATTCTAACACCACAACATCAGAAAAATCTTGATTAATAATATCTGTCATATTCTACAATATTCCATTAAATTTATAAAATTCTTTATCTTTAATTTCAATGTAAATTTATATCATTACAACCGTAACTACTTTCTTAAAACAGCATATGAATTACAACTTCATTCATAACGGTAAAATGACGTTATCCTAAGCGTGCTATTGTACAGCACGCGATTCATCTGGTACACCCCATGCCAGATGAAATTTCCGGCATGGGTAAAACTCACGGAAACGCCAGTCTGATATGCAAGAAATACCTCTCACTCTAGCATATTGATATTTGGTTTTTAGTAAGATTTTTTATGCCCCAGAAGGGAGGCATAATATAATCACACCATCTGTCCTTCCATCTGTGCGTCCCCACTTAAAATTTGTGTCCGGACTGGAACTTTGTCATACATTGAGGGATTTTGAAATAACTTGGCACAAATGTCAACCACATCTAGAGGATGTGTCGTGTCCAAGAACCACGTCCCTACCTCTAAGGTCAAGGTCACACTATCATTTTCACATTATTGCAATAAGAGGAAATAGGTACACACATTTGTGTCCGGACTGTAACTTTGTCATGGATTGAATGATTTAAAAATAACTAGGCAAAAATGTTAACCACATTAAGACGATGTGTCCTCAGGGGTTTTTTTTAGGAAAAGGGGAAGACGCTGGACGCTGGTAGGGAGGGGAAAAAATATACGAAAAAAGTCAATTTGGGGAAACTTTATGATGACGTATTTATACTATATACTTAACTACATAGTAGAGAGAGTTACAACTATATCTTTTTCCCCTTAAAAACTTTATCATCATGCAAATATTCTTTGCAGTATACATATTTTCTTAATATGTATGGTGGTGAATGGTTTTTATACTTCTATTTTTATATGAAAGTTAATACAGTATAGGTATAATAGTGTGTATTTGTGACACACTTTAGCTCCATATAAACCATTTCATAATAAGAAGTACAAAATATATTACTTTACTAAAAAATAACCAAGAAAATGACAATATTTGATAGCAACTGATTTCCAGAAATAGTACCGTTCAGTACGGGATATAGCCAAGAAAAAAAAATGGCTGCCTCCATGTTGAGACAGTACTTGCAGTTTCCTGCAATGTTTTTGGTTATTTTGGACAACAATTGATGGTTTATCCTGCATAAAATGAAGAAAAATAATATTTTAAACCATGTAATTATTAAATCTGATCCAGTTTAAAGGAAAACAGAATTTTTTTGGGGGAAAAACTTGGCTATTTACCGAGGGGAAGACGCCGACTATCGGTGTCAATTTGTTAGTAAAAAAAAACCCTGGTCCTGTTCAAGAATACACCGATAAACACTTTCAGAACTAGCAGACGACAGGCTATTCTTATCAGTAGTATTTCGAGTAAAGATAACGAGTTGCGTATCTCACTGTATAAATGGTATGTAAAATGGTCTGATATATGGTAGGTTTAACAGTTAATTTAAATACTTTGGTGTCAAAAGATGTGTTGAAGTTTATACTGTGATGAAGCTAAGATCCAAAGCTTTCTATCAGTGTAATACATTTTAAAATCGGACTTTTAATCACAACAAACTAGCGGTTTAAAAACGGCTTATTTTGTATTGTTTTAGCATAAGCGGTACCGATTTTACTCGAAGATAAGGGAAGCAACTCATATTTTTCACTCGATATACCTCGGTTATTTACGTAGATCATATTGAAAGTGTTTATGGGTGTATTATGTCTTTACCTCAAAGGTCAAGGTCACACTATCATTTTGAGGTTTCACATTATCGCAATAAGAGGAAATAGGTACATACAATCGTGTCCGGACTGTAACTTTGTCATGCATTGAATGATTTTAAAATAACTAGGCATAAATGTCTACCACATCAAGATGAAGTGTCGCGTCCAAGAATTACGTCTTTACCTCAAAGGTCAAGGTCACACTATCATTTTGAAGTTTCACATTATCGCAATTAGAGAAAATAGGTACACACATTCGTGTCCGGACTGTAACTTTGTCATACATTGAATGATTTTAAAATAACTAGGCTTAATTGTCTACCATATCAAGACGATGTGTCGCGTCCACGGACTTTAATTGACAAGGATCGGACACTTCCGATGGGGCTTTAAATCGGGCCGCGCGCATGCGCGATATCTTCTTACCGGAAGAAGATGAAATAATGGCGTAGACCGAGGATGTCATGTGTAAACATTTGATAATAAAACTCGGTTTTTGCTGTTGATTGCGTTGTTTATACAACTTTGGTACACACTATTTGTCAAGTAAGTATTATTGAATATGTTTACATTAAGTATTTATTTTATTTAGCTCCTAAAACAATCAAACTGCCGTGAAACTTAGTATTGTAATTTTGCTTATCGTAACGGTAAAATTATTCAAGATGGCGGTGAACACGAACGAAAATAAGCTGATTTTGCTGCCCAAATATGACGAAACAGGAATTTATTTTATGTTTAAATTGTAATGTTTATACTAACATAGTATTGATTTGTGCAGTCAGATAAATGGTTTTCTTAGAATATGGCTGTAGAATACCGCAACATTAGATTTAAATCACCCCTCGTTCAAAGATGGCCGCATAAATAAAAAAAAAATCTTCGAAATTTGCTTCCCATTTCATAGAAGGGAAAACTGTTGTTGTTCAAAAATTCGTTCTTATTATTATCACCATTGTGTGATTAGTGCAACAGAAGTAAAAATTAGGGAATTACTTACAAACTTCCTTGGTAATTTTAGTTTGAAATTTGTCTATTTTTGGTTTATTACATCTAAGTTAATTGTTAATATTCTGTTCATATAACTTAAGTTTTACCCTTTTCCTGAAGGTCATGGAGGATTCAATAACACTCAAAATACATGTAGAAATCCTGGACAAAATTTACTTAAAGAAATAGGAGTGAAGTCTTGAATTTTTCATTTTAATGATAAGTATATGACCAGCATTAAATTAATTTGAGCTGGGATATAAATATTACAGATTGCATGAGTGATGTTTTGGTTGCTGTACATGTATTTTGCATATAAATCTGAAACACAATCAGGGACAGCAAAATCAGTTGTCAACAGGGTTGTCAAACAAACTCATTTGTGTTATTGTCTGACTCAGAAGCTGGATTCAAAATCTTGAAATAAATGGGCTGCAGCAAAGCAAATAAATATCGGCTGAATTTAGAAGAAAATATTCCTGCAAGACACAAGTGAAAATATGTTTCACTGCAGAAAAAACAATTTTTTAAAAGTGAAAAAACTAATTTTACTTCATCAATGTTTCTCAATATTTGATTTGTATGTGTTCAATTTTATGGGTATTTTATATATATTTTCAGATTATTGATCCTGGTACAGTCATTTGGTGATATATCAACATACAATCATGACAAGAAAAAAAGGACAAATTGGTAGAAGAATGAAGCGAGAGAAACCACGGAAGCAACTGAACATAAGCAACATTTGTCAGCAGATGTTCTGGCGGAAGACCTCTTATCAAAATCGCTTGGTGACACATTCTTCGTTAATGATGGTACTACAGAAAGTTATGAAACACCTCTAGAAAGAGTTGAGTGCTTTGACAGTGATGGATGTCATGCTGACGAGTTTTTTTGTTATTCTTGACAAGCCTTACAGATATTGTCCAGATACTGATCTTGATGAGTTTGTGGAAAATGAATCATTAAGGATATTTAGTGAATTCCGTGAGAACTGTAAAAGGCATATAACAAATGACAATTTCACATACATGAAATCTTCAAATGACTTGAAATTCATACATTTGTATGAATAATTACATATATAATTGAAAGAAATTAAAAATGTGTTCAAGTATGTAAATAAATGTTTTCAAAAAATCTACTGTTTCATATTGTATGATTCAAAATCGCTGTCACTATTATTGTACTCACTTTCTGTAAAATCCCCCAAAAGCAAATTTAGGTCTGGGTCAGAAAAATTGATAAAATCCTCATTTTAATAAAATATGAAAAACAAGATCAACAAGGAAAGGCGGCGTTCAATGAACGCATATTAAGCCATCTTAACATAGACAAGTACCATGCAATAGTAAAATATAGAACACAAAATTGTGCTGGTAATAGCATTGATACTTAAGTACTGTAATTAACACTTACTACCTGAATTTTAACGTTCCTTCTTTAATCAAGAAACTTCAAAGAAATTTATTCTTTAATTAAAAAGTTTTAGGCACGTTAATTTTAATGAGGTGTTTATGAATAATTTACACTTACCAGATAAAAAACGACCGCTCAATACGGACTCAAACTGTGAATGCCTGTATCAATATCAATTATCCCAAAAATGTTATAACGACTTCCAAAAGAAATAATAGGGCCTGTTTTTGTATTTAAAATATGATTGAAAAAAAGTCAAGTAAACGCCCGTGCTTACCAAAAAAACAATACATGTATAGTTGAATTGTTCTACGATATTACGGAAAATAACCGCATCAGGAAAGTACAAATTCAACTATTACTCGTACATCCCTTAATAAAAGCAACTTCAACTTCGCTCATTAAATAATAGAAGCCGTGGTATAGTCTGAAATGGTATTTTTTTAAATATCCGTAAATCAAGTTTAATGTTGTATTTGAAAAAAAAAGATTTTAACCGTTTGTACACGGCTTTGTCTTAATCGTCGGTATGAAGGGAGACGGGCTAATTATATATGTATATATTATTATCTAATTGACACCTATCTTTGTAATAAAAAATAAATTTTCTCAAATATAATCTACAAATTTCCAAAATTGGATAATAAATGATACGCCAACAATACTTTTTGGACTGTAGGTATCAATTTCGCACCCCGAAAAGTTAACGGTTAACTACTCCGAGTTTTCGTCGTATTTAATTTCTTAATCGTCGGTATGGACAGAACATATATATTTTTTAAGATAAAAATAAATGATTGCAATTAGGGACCAATTTTCTCAAAATGTTCCTTTTAATTTTCAAAATCGGATAATAAATGTTAAAGCAGCAAGACTTTTTGTACTGTAAGTATCAATTGCGCACCCCGAAAAGTTAACGGTAAATTACTCCGGGTTTTCGTCGTTTTCAATTTCTTAATCGTCGGTATGGACAGAGAGTATATATTTTTTTCAATAAAAATTGATATTTGCAATAAAGAATCTATTTTCTTAAAATGTGTCTTTTAATTTTCAAAATCGGATAATAAATAGAACGACAACAAGACTTTTTGTAGAGAAGGTATCAGTTTAGCGCAGGTATTTTACGCTTAACTCCGATAAACTAAAAATTATTGATCGGTTTCCCGATATCGAGTGTACAGGTACACGCGCGACAAGATATTTTAACGTTTTATATAGGTTTACTAGGAGTGTCCGATCCCTGTAATTTAAATCCGTGGTCGCGTCCAAGAATTATGTATCTACCTCAAAGGTCAAGGTCACACTCACATTTTGAAGATTCACATCACAATTAGATTTAATAGGTACACACAATCGTGTCCGGGCTGTAACTTTGTCATGCATGGAAGGATTTTAAAATAACTTGGCATTAATGTCGACAACATCAAGACGATGTGTCGCATTCAATAATCATGTCCCTACCTCAAAGGTCAAGGTCACACTACCATTTTGAAGTTCACTTTATCACAATTAGAGTTGATAGGTACACACATTCGTGTCCCGGCTGAAACTTTGTCATGCATCGAGGATTTAAAATAACTAGGCATAAATGTCTTCCACATCAAGACGATTTGTCGCGACAAAGACCCATGTCCCTACCTTCAAGGTCAAGGTCACACTTATAATTTCAAGGTACTCATTCTCTTGAGAAGAGTTTGAAGATACACATTCATGTCCAGTCTGTACTTTTGTCATGCATGGAAGGATTTTAAAATAACTTGGCACAAATGTTTACCACATCAGGACAATGTGTTGCCGCTAAGGCTCATGTCTGTGTGTCCCCACTTACACAACAATCATGTCCAGACTGTAACTTTGTCATGCATTGAGGGATTTTGAAATAATTTGGCACAAATGTCTATCTCATAACAACATTTTGTCGCTTCCAGGAACCACGTCCCTTCTTCAAAGGTCAAGGTCACACTTATATTTTGAAGGTTCATGCTATCAAGAACAATATTCAGCAATTTGTTACTTTTATTCTCTTTTCTTATCATATTACCTGCATGCTTAAGAAACCTTTTTGGGGGCATTCGTCACTTGGGTGACAGCTCTTGTTTACTCCAAAAAATGAAAGTTAGTAGTTTAGTCTTCCTTTCATCCTAGAGATTGTGGGTTTTGAACTTTCTAGTTTGAACCAGTTTCCTCCTACGATACCAGTACCGAACAGCAAAAGGAAAAATACTTATGATTACTATGTATAACAAATAAATGTACTTGATCTTACTTAAAAACAAAACATTGGTTTTCTGTTCATACATAGATTGAGCAATGACCATCAGTTGATAATTGATCACAACAGTTTTCTTTGTGATAACATGTAATTTTCTACTTTTAACTTGATAATGTGCATATAAAAAAGAACCACAAAACTGATTTGTTACCCAACATTTTTAAGTTGCAGAATTTGCCAACTTGACTTAAAAAACTTTAAATGGCCTCTTATGTAACGATTGTGAACATTACAAAAGAAATTACACAATGTATATGAAAAACAATTAATTGGTTGACTGAAGTTTACTTTTAACTACACAAATGTATTGGCTATTATTGTTACCCCATTAATTTCAAATCCCATTTTGGGCACCTTTAAATGCACTTTAAGTCATGACAGTTGACTGTTTCCTGGGTGTCAAAACCAGTAATCAAATCACTAGTCCGGGGATTCAAACTTTTTGTTTGTATTATTTTATATAACACTTTATTTTAAAAATTCTCAGTTGAAATGTTTTTCTACTTATTAAAACTTTTACTACACTTTATGCATGTCATAACAAATATATTTTTGTCACACACAAGCACAATGTGCTGAGAGGTGAGCTTTTGTGATTAATGTTGCCTCACACACAGTTGTACATCGTTACCTATAGAAACCTTGTGGTAAATTTTGACATAACATTACAGGGAGTCCCTATATGAAAGTTTTACCCAGTCTACATCAACAGACTTAAAAAGTAAAATCTCCAAAAATTGTCTCATTTGTGCAAACAACAATGTCCAGGGCTTAGTTAGCACAACTTAGTTGAACTTTGGTCCTCTGCAGAATTTGACTCACCACTATAAGGCCCTATTGATGGAGTCACATAGTTTTTATAGAGTTAAAACACATTTTATTTTGTCTTCTTGATTGAAAAACTACAAGTATTTGCCATATAACATCAACATTTGTTATTTATATAAATCATGCCCGGAGTCATTTAGTTTACATAGACTCATAAGGACAAACACTTTTAAAACTCTTCCTGTGCCTAGAGCAAGTATTTAGCATGTACTAATATGTTTTAACTGTTGGATTTCGGAAATCATGGCCCTCCTGTACTTTTAAATCTATCTGTTTTTCCATTTATATGTGAATTTTTTTTTATTTTGAGAAATCTCAAACCCCATCCACCCCCACCAAACTCAAAGAAAAGAGGAAAATCACATTGATTTACACATGTCTCGAAGCTGTTTTTCTTTAAACCTGTCTGCACTAAACCTGGGTCATTCTTTATTTGCTACTATTTCATCATATTATGACATAATATGATCATTTATGATAATGATGAGTATAATAAATAATTTAAAAAAGATCTGTCCTGTTCATGAAATAAGATACCTTTCTATATAATTTTGGCGGAGAAAAATACTATAAAATAAAATCCCACGTGATAATCATTACGTATTTGCATGAAACTCAATCTAGCGTGAAAGTTGTAAAATCAGTTTCTAGATTCCCCGCTGTCTCTGTTTTCATTCATAAAACGCCTACGCATTACTATATACCTGCTCGAGTGTTTTGTTATTTGTACTGTTTGCCCTTCGATTAGGCTGTTTTGATCAAGGACAATTCCATTAAAGTACGTGTTTTTTGGCTAGTATTTCTTTTTTTTTCTTTATTCCTTTGTTGTTACCCTTTACCAAAGATTTTAAATATGCTTAAAAGTTATGTAGTGTCATAACCTCCAAATGAAATATTTGAAATAAAAAGATTAAGAAGTGGATATTTGGCACATATACAACTTTTATTTGCTGATCAAATTATTTAAAATCTAGGACAAAAAGGTATTAACAAAAGAAATAAAAGTATTACAGTATTTGTGGCCTTATTATTTTAAGCAGATTACAATAGGAAAACTACCTGTTAATTTTGAAGAAAAAAAAAATTCTCCAGTGTACTTAAATTATTTGATAACTGAACCGATTGTCATGTTTGTTGGAATTTAAACAATGTTGACAAACTGACAAAAGATTATAGCTTGAGATGTATTTTATGAATGAAATTTTGATGTATAATTTTACACAAACATTATCAGATCAGGTGACATTCTAATTTGCATAATTGCGAAATCGTACTTTATCTAATAAATACTCTGACTTTGGTGTAATCTACATTTTCTCCTCTTATCAGCATGGTATAAATAGACATTACACCTCAGTTTGTCATTTTGAACTTTTACGTTTTTGAACATTGCATCAGGTTTTAAAAATACATGAGAATAAAATTGAATTAAAATCACGATCTTCGATACTGGAGGAAATTTGTCAGGCTTTATAGTTATTTCAATATAGCATGCTAATTTATACAAGTTACCATTTTTGGTCAGTGATTCATACCTAAGGCTGTAAATGGTGCAATCATTCAATTTCAGACCATACAGTCAGCCTTTTCAAACATTCATTCCACTTTTTACCTCTGGTCATT